AGGTATATAGATGCCCCTTGAGACCATAAAATTAAGTGAAATAAACAGATACATGAGCTTAAACATCTCAGAGCTTCTCTTATGAGAAACCCAAAATATAAAGAAAGACCTAATAAAAGACAGCTAAGAGGAAGTAGAGAGATCTGTTTCAAATGAGAAGAGGAACAGAGATAGTAGGAATGGGAGGGAGGAGAAAGGATATGAAAGAAAAATAATTGCACAAAAATGGGAATGGAACTTTTGCAAATGGGAAGGAGACCAAGACTTGAAGGTAACAGGGAGGGATGGGAGTAGTAGGGAGTATAAAAGGAATTAAGATGTTTTATGTATGTGTATCAACTTCCCGTGATAAATGTAATCAGTAAGTACAGCAAACTTGCACTAATAAAATATATATTGTAAAGACTGGTTCCTTCCGCTTATCTGAAGACTCCATTTCCTTCTGTGTTGGCTTTCTCCACTGGAGTAAGGGTATATGCAGGAGTCCTAGGCCGGTACTTTTAAAAACTCTACTAGGGAAAACAAGAAAGATTTCTCTTAGAAGTCCAAACAATAATTTTAAATTTGGATTTATTTTCCAGTATACTCTTGACTCAATAATTAAAACTCATGGGGTACGTTTTCTGATCAACCTGGCACGAATCATACTTTTATCCTTGGAAAATTATACTACCCAAATTTTATAGCCCAAAATGCCAAGATTATGTGGAGGAAAATTTTTCAGTTATGCAAAGAAGGATAATGGACTCTTGTTAGATATAAGCACAGCCCACTAAGACATGTTCCACAATCTGAAGGCAGTGTCCTTATGACGAAGTCCTCAGCACAGATATCAGCATTAAGCTTACTAAATGCACAACCCAGGAACTCTGCTCCATTTTATATGTTTCAGTTTCCCTCATATGACGTGCTGTTTTAAACACCTACTTTATGGAATAGTTATGTGGATTAAAAGATAAAATTTATATAAAATAAATATGGAGCCCTTGTTTCTGTCTGGTTCCTGCATATGAGGGGGGTTGAGCTGACTTCTATTGGGCTAAGGAGATAAACCAAAAGTTAAACTTACTACAACATCCAGGATGTTTCTGGTTAGCAGGGGAAGCAAATCTTTAGGGAATAGTACTACCTAGGATGCTAATGTGTTAGATCATTATGTGTTCCAGTATTCCCTCTGGAAGGGAGGAGGAATACTTTTTTCAATATCCTATGGGAAAGATGATATCAAAAGGGCAGAGACAGGTGAAGCTAGAGTAGAGAGCCCTCTCACAGGTAAGTCTCCATCTTTGTGAGCTCAGCAATGCGTCATTATCGAAAAATTCAGCATAATTTTAACAGATTTCTATGTATGTTTTGAATATACTGCTCCCACATCCTCTCATGAAAGAGCAGAAAAAACAAACAGCACAGTGTTTTAAAGGTTACTTTTATTACAAGAAATAGAATGAAACATAATCTTCAGAACAAAGCAATTCTTTGAATTCAACAAATGCTTTTTGGGCACCACGGGTGACAAAAGCAATCATTATTGTGTGAGAAGAGAAAGATACCTTCCATGTGTTAAGGATGATCTCAATTTCCTGAGGTGGTAGAATATGGGAAAGTTCCTAGAGGCATTTCCTGGACGGTGATGGGGAAAGATAATTCTCACTAAGATCAGCAGGTACCAGACACTTAGAAGAGCCTATGACTGGTTAAAAATGAGAGATAAGGTTGTTAGGGAATAGTGACCTTGACAAAGCTTCTGGATAATGTTACATTTTCCCATCTCCAAGTGACATTTTGAGTAGAATAATGTAGATTGCAGTATAGAGTTATTAGTCTGCAGGTTTCCAAAGGAATATCGTGAAATATGTGACTTGCAATTGATGTGCACCTGAGATTCAGTTGGAGAAGTCAAATAACTGCCTTTCAGATCAGGTTCAGACCAAGAATGACCACGAGGAGAATAAAATCCACACGATGAAGGTGAAAACACAGGTAGGACTGTTGCTGAAAATATTTTTAATAAAAATCTTCACTTTCACTAAGTATCTGATCCTTTATAAATTGTGTTCGACTATTATCTTTTTGAGCTTTAGTTCTCTAAAATGTTCCTCTTTTCGAGGAAGATTCAAAAAGGTTAATTAAATATGAATTTCATGATATCTTGGGAAACCAGACATAGCAACATAGACAATGGACATTGAATTTTATGACAATTATTATGTTCTCATTCTAGACGGTTTTCCAGTGTTTGACTAGTTCGTGGGACCTGAGAGATGTAGCTGCATACAGTGAAGAGCTCAACAAGGGTTGTTTATCTCTCCCTTTAATCTTTTCCGAGGTACAGAGATGGAGACAGCTAGCTAATAGCCCCGAACATGGAAACGTCTAAGTAGAAATGACGTGGAAGTAGGGATTCCTCCAGGGGTGTAAGTCTAGTGTAACTGACTTAAGGAGATCTGGATCCTGTAAAGGAAAGTCCGGAAGGGGAAATCTTCTGAAATACAATGTAGAAGCAGAGAAGGAGCCCCCTGATGCTCATCTCTTTCCAACTTTTCTGGGTTTCTTTTCTTGCAGCTCCTCTCTATTGGCTCCAACACCAACACATTGTTCATTATTGTTTCCACCACTGTAGCCATCATACAGGGGGCTCCTTGTGTTTGGGAAACTGAAGCAAGTACAGAAGTTACCGTGTTATGTGGTATATCAGTGGTGCTGTCTTTGTCTCTGGACCATTATAATCCCTTTTCTGTGTTTGATTCCTTGAAAACCTGATGAAAGTTGTAATTACTTCTTTAAAGAAAAAAATTAAGATAGAGTCGTACACACAGACACCCACAAAACTGTGTGACATGGCAGGAGGATATGAAAAATGTGAAGGTTCTCTTCGCAAGCCTTAAGAGCCAGGGATTCACCAATGTTTTAATAAATGCTTGCTATAAATGTGCTCTAGGTGTAGTCTCATGTCTTTCATGGTGTGTGATGCTATACAGAGCACATCTTCACTCCAGATCCTGATGCTGATTCAAGTTATTTTAAATCAATCTCTGCTCAATTTTGTTTTGTTTTGGGCTGTTCTCTCTGGTGGCTTTACAAATTATGAACATACTTGTTGCTCTCCTATACATGAGAGATGATAATTGTGTGAGTGTGTTTTAGAACCAGAAAAGTATTAAAATAATCAGATAAATAGTATCACATCTTACGGTGTAACAAAGAATGTTTTATTAATAAACACTAAATCACTATGTTGAACAAGTCCTTGTATTTGGATCTGTGGAGAATAAAATGTAATACAGATTTCTATTGTTCTAATTCCAGGAAAGAAGTTAAAAATGTACGCCCTGAATTGCACTTAAGCAATAGTATGTAAAATTATAGTTATAAGAAAAACTATAAAGGAAGTCTTTTGAGAGCCACAGAACAAATTTTATTTGTCAAAAGAAAATCAAGTGTAGCAACCTGAAGGTTACTTGGCTATTAGATTCTTAAATTTTCATACAATTGGAAAAGCTAGAAATGGAAAGCCATTCTGGAAAGGAGAAGTATCATTGGTTAAACATCTTCATGAAAGATTTGAGGAAAAGGTAGAATTACTAACAAGTTAATGAAATGCACACCTATGAGCTAATTTATATTAAAAGATATATATGAGGGAATCTTGTTCTAAATATGGACATTCTAACAGTACTGATAACAAAAACTTATACAGTGAAACAAATAGTCAAAGCCCTGGACAATCAGAGGGGAAATATTATTTTATGAAGTTGCCCCCAAAGATTAATGTATTTTCAAACACAATTATTTCAGAATAAATGACTCAAATGGGAAAGTTAGTTTTACTGTATTTTGGGTATCATGTTTATTTCTCAGATTATGGGAAGAGAATTAAAACAAGTGTTAATAAATATTTTCTAGACAGTAAAAATTTTTAGATTAATAAATAATTATTTTGCTATAATGATTAAGGTATCGAGACTCAGTTTCCATATGGTTTAATATTTTTGCCAAGATCACATATTTTGGTGCAATTTTATTATGTTTTTTTTCTTGGCAACCCAACAGAGGGTAACTGTATTACACATTTTCTGATAAAAGTTAGTAATTGGAAGTATGTTGAAGAGCAAGAAATGTTTCTAAAAATAAGAATAAAATAGAAATGAGGTATATGATGTGTTACTATCACAGAACATTTATTTCTGTCCACTTGGAGATATATATATATATATATATGTATGTATATTCAACACAAAACATTGTAAGTGTGTTTCATGGTAACAGCAGATTATTTATAGGACATAGGAATTTCTTGTTGTTTTTTCAATGTGCAGTATCTGAGAGAGTATAATATATATATATATATTTACAAATAGACAATTATATGCAACATATAATATAGACAATACATTTTATGAGGTTGGGGGTATGCAACTTTGTATCTATATCTTAAACCTTCAGTGATAGTCAAAATATCCTTTTTTTATACTTTTGTTATTTTATTATTATTTTTTAGCAAAACATTTATTGGTGGAGCTGGGGATTTAGTTCAGTGGTGCCGCTGCCTACCTCGAAAACACAAGGTCCTGAGTTTGATCTCTGGTACCAAAAAAACAAAAAACAAAAACTATTTATTGGTACATTTTAGATATACATAAATGTGGGATGAAACAAAATGCAAAACTGATCCTTCAAACTTTATTGAAAATAGAAAGAATGATGGGAACCATATGTCTAAATTTTACAACCAATGAAATGTTGAAATTAATCAGAGCCGTGTCAGAGCTAACAAGGGCTTGTGTTTGAATAATGCTGTGGGGAAAAAATGTTTACAACGTTATTTTAGGCTGATAATGATCCTATGCAGTGGTCATTGATACAACTAGAATGTCTCCAGTAATAAATAATTATTTTTGGTTGAAAAATTCTATAGCATCAAGTGGCCTGTGGTAAATTAATTCCTTTGTTTTTGCAGACAAATCACTTCACAACTGCCCCTTTTTGTAATTCTAGAAACCATGCAGCTGAAAACTAATGTGACTGAGTTCATCCTGCTTGGGTTGATGCAGGATCCTGTTAGGAAAAAGATAGTGTTTATAACTTTCTTATTTTTCTACTTGGCAACGTTGCTGGGTAACTTGATGATTATCAAGACCATCAAGACCAGTCGGGCACTTGGGAGCCCAATGCACTTCTTCCTTTTCTCCTTATCCTTATCTGGCACCTGCCTCTCTACTTCTGTAGCCCCTAGAATTATTGTGGATGCGCTTTTGAAGAAAACCATAATTTCTTTCAGTGAGTGCATGATCCAAGTGTTTTCCGCCCATTTCTTTGGCTGCCTGGGGATCTTCATCGTTATTCTCATGGCCGTGGACCGCTACGTGGCCATCTGTAAGCCCCTGCACTACCCGACCATCACGAGCTGCAGGGCCTGTGCAGTGTTGATGGCTGTAGCCTGGGTGGGATCCTGTGTGCATTCTTCAGCTCAGATTCTTCTGGCCTTGAGTCTGCCTTACTGTGGTGCCAATGTGATCGATCACTATTTCTGTGACCTAGAGCTGCTGTTGGAATTTGCCTGTGCTGACACCTACATGGTCAACCTGCTCCTGGTGTCCAACAGTGGGGATGTTTGTACAATGAGTTTTGTCTTGCTGATGTTCAACTATGTAATCATTCTGCATTCTCTAAGAAAACACAGTGTTGAAGAAGGGAGAAAAGCCCTCTCCACCTGCATTTCCCACATCATTGTGGTTGTCTTGACCTTTGTACCTTGTGTATTTATTTACACACGTCCTGCAGTCACCTTCCCCATGGATAAGATGGTAGCTGTGTTTTACATGATTGGGACACCTTTGCTCAACCCTCTGATTTACACACTGAGGAACACAGAAGTGAAAAACGCCATGAGGAAATTGTGGAGCAAGAAGCTGATCTCAGATTCAAGATGAATGGAACTTGGCACAGTTTTTGTATTGATCTAAAAAAAAAAAAAACAAACCTTAACTTCTTAAAGTGACTTAAAAATAGAACTACCTTGAGGAATGACTGTTTGTTCCTTCAGAAGAATAGGCAGTGTGAATACATAAGGAGTTCATGTTCAGTTATTTTGATGCAGAGAAAGAGCAGGAGGTTATCGCATATATGCAAATCCACTGGCTTTCCTGTGGTCCTCCTGTGTCTCTCTGACGCTCCGCTTTCCTAATATCACCTGTTGTTTTGGTCTAGAGTTTTTTTCTAACCTTCCCACTGACTTCTGATATTTCTGTACCAATGGTGACCTGTTTGTATATATCCGCAACTTTTACCCAAAGCCTAGCATTTCTACTCCTTCAAATGGTTTCCTTTATTAGACATTGGATCTTATCATATTTCATCATAGACCAGCCATTTATTGTTCTTGGCTCAGGATAAAGCACTAGACTAATATATTTATTTTGTAAAGGACTCAGTTCTAAATGAATCCTTATCTATTCTAAAAAGCTAAAGAGATAAAAGTGCCAGACATGTTTATGTAATTTTCCACTCAATTCTTCAGATTATTCTTTAAACTCTTTCCAAGCCTCTACTTAGAGCCTTGTACAATAATGACAGAATACCATCCTTCTGAAGCAGTCCTTTGATATCAGGAAGACTACTACTTGGTATTATACTTACCACATTATTTTATTTGTAAATTTCCATTTTACTCCTTAATTGCTGCCTTTAAACTTTTGGGGAGTATTAAGGTTTCTCTTGAATCACAGCAATTATAGTTATTTGTTTCTAATACGAAGTTATTATTTTGTACCATAAATGGTCCAAATTGAGATAAAGATACAGTACTTCAGTTCATGTATTTAATTTGTTCCATGATTCTGAGAAAGATGGCCACTTTCCTGTTTGAGCTTTGAAGATGGCCACTGTAGTGTTCATCACTCCTAGCTGAGTTCGCCAACAGAAGCAAAATTTTGCTGAATGCTTCTGTTGCGAGCTGAATTGTGTGCCAACACTTTTGATAGGACATTTGAATATATAAAATGAAGAATGTGATCTTACATTAGGTTGTTCTTACAGAAATAGTTACACCACAGGTAAATATAAATTATTTTAGAGAGCTTTGAAAACAACTGGAAGATAATATGCTGAACAAGGAGAAGATATTGGGATGAAAGGAATATGTCTAAGGTGGAGATGGATGCTATATTTTGTTACTATCCATCAACACCACTATCTACAATTACATGGTCACTGAGACACTCTGATTTTATTTTGCTTCCTTATTTGTTTATTTTATCAATATAGAAAATTACACGTGGATGATTTTATCTGAGACTTCCATTTCTTTTTATAAATCACTGTATTATATGAAGATTGCTATATTTGTCAATTTTATTGTACTTGAAACTTCAGAATTATTTTTATCTTGAAGGAATTACCATATTTCTCTACAGACATGAAAAGTTTTGGATTCTATCATGAATAACAGTGATGTGCGTACACCATCTTTTCTCAGATTCTGTAAATTTCAGGTTTAAATCCACACAAGCAGTTCATCACTAAACACAGCCGTTAAACTTTAATCATCCTGTCATAAGATTTACACTGTAGTATGTTTCACTTGGCAGAGATTGAGCTGGTGTCTTCTTTTACTTCAAGGCCTGGAAAACATATAAGGGCCGCAGAGTGGATGCAATGTCAGTGCCCGCTCAGATGCAGTCTGTCTTAGACGTTTTCTGAACACAGACTCAGTACAGAGCCCAGGCTACTGTCTCTACCTCTCCTTCCAACAGAGACTGTGACTTAAGCCATGTCTGGGATTTTGTAATAGAGATGAAAAGGGAACTGCATGTGTAATCCCACCAGGTTCTGTGGTTGGAGCCTGTGTTCTCACAGAGAAAGAGGGGAATCTGAGAACTAAAATAAGCAGTATTTATGGGGGAAAGATGAGACACATGATCCCATAAATCATCCGTCTCCTCTAGGTTGTCACAAGCAGCTCCTTCTCCCCCGAAAGGGGAGGACAGTCTTTCCTTGCCCAGACAATGAGACCATGTTATTGGGAGATTGTGTTATGCTATGAGATATGCTGTCTCCAGAAGCAATCTCCAGTACCATGTACTGGTTCTAAATAACCCACCAAGAGGGTCCAAATGGTCCCATCTTGCTCCAGAAAAATATGGATATAAGTGAGGAAGTTCCAGCTTTGGTTAATATGCATAGACTTGAGCCAAGGACATTTCACAGTTGGGATAGATGCTGAATTTATTAGCATAAAGTAGCATAAATCCAGAAAATTAAGAAATTATTCAATATGGAAACTCTTCCATGACTTGAGATGTGAGTTTTCTGCACTGAATTATGGCCTCCAGGAGAATGATATGTTGCAATACAAATTCCTAGTAGCTCAGAATGTGATGATCTTTAAAGATAATGTCCTATAAAGTTAAACAAGCACATTAAAATAAAGTCATAAGCATGGCTTTAACCTAATATCACTTGTATTCTTTACCCAAAAAGGGGAGGATATTTGGATGCAGAAAGACACTAAGAGGGATGTGTGAAAATGAAAGCAGAGATGGGTAACACTAGCAAATCAAGGAAGTACCACAAATACTTTCCCTAAACCACAAGTGTTAGGCAAGTGACATAGAATAGACTCTCATGGTGCTCAGGAGAAACCAACACTTTCAACATCTTGATCTCAGCCTCTTTTACCTTCCAGCACTGTTATTTAAGCAACCCAGGGCAGTGAAAGTTTTCACAGAAGTTTCAGGAAACTAATATATAATTTTAATAAGAACATTTAGAGCTGGATCTGTGACACATATGCAGGATTTTAGCTAGATTAATTTTCTATTGCTACCATAACAAATAACCTCAAACTTGATGATTTCAAATAACACAGATTTATTATCTTCCAGCTCTGTACACTGAAAGCTTGACCTGGGTCTCACTACTCTAAAATCAAGGGGAGACCAGGGCTGTGCCCCCTTCTTTTCATTTATTGAGGCTGAGGGGATGAATTCATTTCACGGCACTTCCAGATTTTATAGTTTAATCACATTGCTTGGCTCTTGGCCTCATAATCCAGTCTTCAAAGCTAGCCATCCTACATATATTTCACTACTCTTTCATCCTTGTCTCTCCACCTGACTCTCTTTTCTGTCTTTTACATCCACTGTTAAGTTGCCTTCTGGTTACTTGGGACCATCTGGTGAATGCAGGATGAACTACTCTAAAATCAACTGATAAGAAACCTGAATCCTTCCTTTGCTGTGAAACTAATATATTCACAGGTTCTAGTTATTAAATTGTGGAAATCTCTATAGGCTTTTATTCTGCTTACTATAGTAGCACTTGGAAAATGAAAGATGCAGGAACCTGCTTGGAAAAGTTTTGGGGAAATAATTAGAAAGCCCATATTGGGGAAAATGTTAGAACTTAAGGCTAGAGAACATCCAGCTGACTGTGTCTTTTGGGAGTATGCAGAAGATCCTGCTTTCACTAACAAAATTAACATTTGCTGGTAAGGAGAGTATAAAAGCATTTGAGACCACTAGGGAAAGTTATAAATGACTATCTTTGTGCAAAATTTTTCTCCTTTGCATTAAGGGCCATGACAAGTTTCTAGAATATCAGGAAGTAGCATGAATGTGTGTTACAAGGACTCTGTGGGGCTCTGCAACAGTGGCAAACTGATGATGTTGGTTCTGGGGTCAAGATGGATGGGTATAAAATTAGGTGAATGAACATGCCACTAGTGTTTGCAGGAATTGGTTAATGACGATAAAGATAATGACAGATGATGAGAACAGTAATAAAAAGAAATGTGGTTCAGGACCCAGGTTCAGTTTTATGTAGAATTTAGACTTAGAATCCTTTTTTTCTTTTTTTTTTAACCTGAGCTCAAACTCAGGACCTTGTGCTTGCCAGTCAGGCATGGTGCCATTGAGCTAATTCCCCAGCCCTAGACTTAGAATCCTTTGACTGAGTGGATTCAAGTAGAATTCAAGTCTTCTTGAAATAGGACTATTGCATTGAAAGTATATAAATGTATTTTGATACTTCCCACAAAGGATCTTTTAAGTCAATGTGAATTTGTGTAATAGAGGAAAGAAGATTACAAGAATTTAAAAGGATTATTTTGCTGATAATAATGTTAAGGGGCTCCAAAAATCTAGTCTGGCTCATTATATTTAAAATAGGAGAACATGGAGTTCAGGCAAAAGAGGTACATCCAACTCATATTCTTTGATTCAGCTACCTTAAATTTCAGTGTAACTTGTGTCAGTTCCCCAGTCTCGACCTGGCAACATTTCTATTGATTCCTGTCCTGTGGAATATGCCCATATATTAGGACGGAACAGATAGAATTGAAGCCTTCTTAGACACACAACTGTAGTTTGAAACTGTAGTCAATCAGAAGCCATTCCTCACTCTAAACAGTGCTGCATAGAAGAAATTAGGCTTGTGACACAGATTCAGATAATGCAGAGCAAAGAGTGACTTCCGTGGTCTTTTTTGTTAATCTGCCTAGCTGCTGCAAAAGCAAATGTATTCTGGAGGAGGACAAGGAAGTGCAAGCACAGTTCCTTAACCCGAGTCTTTAAAATTTGGTATGGACACAGATATTTTGATGCTAAGTGAATTCATACTCTTAGTCCTCATAAAGGAGGATAACATCAGTTCACTTGACAGGCCAATTTAAAAAACATGGAATGACCAGGAATGCCAATAGAATTTGTACATTGAACTACCCACTATGAACTGGACTTTGTGGAAGAAAGTATGCCTTAAATTTTAGAGGGTGCATTACCTTCAGCTGGTAAGGCATGGGCCTTAGAAGATCAGAAAGTGAGAGTATTTTATGATCCAATTAAAGGTTCTGACCCTCATATCATCCATCTCTGTTCAATCATTGCCTCTCCGTTGACTCTGGCCTTAAAGGCAATATTCTGTGACCAGCTCA